GTGTGTGTGTGTGTGCGTGTGTGCGTGTGCGTGTGTACGTATACATGTGTTTGTTTGTTATTTCATTCACAACCGCGTTGCTGAATTGCAAACTACTGTGATACTGACTCCAGTGTCTAAAAGAAAACCATCTTTTCCTCCCATACAACTAGACGTCTCTCAGTGCGTGTGTGTCCGCTTTCAGCTTGAGATTTTCAGAAGCATTATTTTATGACTGTGACTTTGTTTGCCCTTCACACTACTTTATGCAGTCTTTTTTTTCTAAGTCACACAACCGTAACTCTGCTCTGCACGTTTTTGACTTGTGAGATCTCTATCTTTCTCCTCAAGCCTCGCTTTAAAAAGACAGTGGTCTTGAATGTCGTGGGTTGCTGAATAATATTATGCTGACTTTTGGCTTGTGTGACAACGAATAAAACGGTGTCTGTGGGGTACAAGTTAGGCTTTTGGCTGGCCGTAGCTCGCAGAAGATGAGTTCCATTCCTCCTGAGGGAAGTCTCATGATAATGTTGTGTTATACAGTAGGACTATGCAAAAAACGAACATTTGAGCTGAATGAAAGAGAAAGGAGGGAAAGTGCCGCGATAAAAGAGACGCTGGTGGTTTGTGTGTCCTTTTTCTGTGTGTATTGACGCGGCCCATGGTTCACACGCTTGAAAATGGTGAAATGCAATAGGTTTAACGCCCCTATCAACACTGTTAGATTATTTAAGAGGTGGGACCTCCGAGTTTAACGTCCCTCTCCGAAAGGACCGAGCCAAGTGGGATATTATTCGTGCAAAGTGCCTGTCCCATGGGTACAACGTCGGACCGAGCTGAAGCTCGAACCTCCGAACTCGCAGTCTCTCGATTACGAGTTCGGTAGCCTAACCATTAGACTTCCGACGCCACCTCACACGCTTGGCTGCGAAGTTTTTAAGAAAGAATAAAGATCTATAAAGAGCGGTGGTCATTGAGGTCATGACCGTGCGCGGTCTAGAATATTGGTTCACGTAGTGTAATTCTATTCACTGAGCAGACAGGGAAATCTGTGTGGTGATGACGTGTTTTAGCCCCCTACTGTTTGCCTTTGACAGTGACGAATGGCGGGTAGATCCGCCCCG